TTATTAGAGTTCTCTGCCCCACACTTAAGTGGGGGCAGTTTAGTCTTTGTAAGTGTAATTAGAACCTAATAAACATTAGGGGGTCGACTGAATGAGAGACTAATAAGTTTCAACTAAACCCTCCTATTCTCTCTTTCTCTTGTCTTCTTCCTCATCTTCTTCTTTCTTCTTCACTGGTTCGGGTTACTGTAGTTGCTCCAAAACAATAAAAATATAAACTTAAATTTTAAAATAAATGATTTAAAAAACCTATTATCTAAAATTAAAATACATAAACATAACATGCAAAGTGTATTCAAATGAAAATTTAAAAATAAAAGCAAACATATAAAGCATTTTCAAGCATGTAAAACCCACAATATCTTTTTTTCCTTAACTGCATTGCTTCAAGTAGTTAATGTAATGTAAAACATATGGCATTCTTGATTCTATGAATCGCCTTTGTAGCACGCCCCTCGAGGCAAGCCCGAACAAGTCTATGTTAGGGTCTGAAATTCTTATTTCTCACATAAAAAATAATGATTTTACAATTTTCATTGCCTTTTAAGAAGATATTTTATTACAATGAATGAATGAACAACATAAGCAAATAGGGGGTTCTCGGAGGCGCAAGGCACAAGGCACAAGATATTTTAAGAAGATATTTCATTGCCCAGCCGTTAGACTCAAAAAGCACAATTTTAAAAAGGCATACGTCTGGGCTGAGGCGCAAAGCGCATCACGCCTAGGCGCACCAGGTGCGCGCCTCTTGAAAGAGGTGTGCCTAGGACCTGGGCGAATGCGTCTCGCCTGTGCACCTTTTAAATCACTTTACTTGCAGGACCAAGATAGGTGATTTGAGTTAATTATTTAAGATGAAAGAGGTTCCCTCAATGTGCAGCCATGGTGCCTTCTATGTTGATCATCTTAAATGTTAGAAGGGACCTTATGAAGGCCAATGAATCTGGGTTGATCATCTTAAATGTTAGAAGGGGCCTTATGAAGGCCAAGGAATCTGGGTTGTGTAACTTAACAGTGGAATGTAATAACCATATGGATGCCTGGGTTTGAGAAGCTTGTGCTACCATTATGACATAAAAAAACTCAACTAAGACTTTTTTTGATAAGTAACATGAAAAAACTCAAGCAACAAGACCATGAAAATGTATGTTGTTCATATCCCTAGGGAGGTGAAATGCTGCCAAAACCATCGATAATTTTCTAAAGCATCTTATTAGCCCATTTGAGTTCCCTAGTGACCTTTTTCTATAACATAGGGACGATGATAGGTGGTTGATAGGTGCTTGCAAGTAGTTTCTTTTGTACTCAATATATTATTTCCTTCCCACCAGAAAGAAAAGTTCAGACGCTACCATTAGTCCATTACCTGAAGGACATGATACATCATCCACCTAAGCTGTGGCAACTTAGTAAATCAAGAAGAGAGAAGTTGTTTTAGTTCATCTAATTCACTACCTGTTATTCTCTTTTGAGAATAAGCTTATGAGAACACCAAATTTCCCCTAATTAGTAGGAAAAGCTGAACAAAAGAATTCACATATAATATAAACTATAACTACCAAAATTCTAGAAAAACATTGTTTCAGAATGATAGAAATTAAAAGGAGAAAGCCCAGAAAGTTGGCAACTGAAGCAACATGACCATAGTTTCACATTCCCACTAGAAGGTTTCTTCAAAAAAGTAAAATAAATAAACAAGATATTGACATACCTTCGTTGCAAGGAGGGATTTCACCAGTTCTGTTTGAGAAGACACTAGAGTATTTCAAGTGATAGCAAGTTGCAGACTTGCAGTTTAGAATGCCATGGAACAATAGATGGAAAAAGGGAAATATATGATTAAATTAAGAAAAAAAACTCACCGTTTATTTTGTTTCCATTAAGAAAAGCACCTTTTCCAAGAATCCCAGTAAACATCTATAAACCATAAAATTAAAAATCAGACTTGACTTCACACTTTTCTTGACCTGTAGTATATTGTCTTATTGAAGCAAAAATTCTATGCATAATAACTAAACCTGAAAATAGAACTTTTAACCCCAAATGGGTCGTTCTTGTCATACTAAATTCACGAAATTCCACAAGTATGAAATACAAAGAAAACAACTGACTACATAATTGCATAATGAAAAATACATCTAATCTATTTAAAACAAACACCACACAAAGAAAATGCTCGTAGGAAGCAAAGCAAAACTCACTGCATTTACAGGCAAAACCATCAACCAATAAGTTTAACTTAAGATACTATGCCAAAAATGCAAAAGCATTAATAAATTATTCTAACCATGGCAAAAATTCATTCAAGTGGATTTTGCTAGTTCTCCAAGTTATAATATAAGGTTTATTAACATTTAATGGTAAACCTTCTGTATAGTGTGGACTGGACTGGACAGCTGGCCTAGGCAATTGGTGTTCGGTATAAGATTGGAATATGTGCTAGATGAAAGTATTGCTTGTGATAATGAACTCTTAACCTCATCAAGTATTGGGTTGTACACAACACCAACAGTAGTAATCTTTCCAATTGTAAGACTGATAGATACACATACAAAAGGGAGACTACATGTAGTTAGGGCGTGAGACCAAATTAATATAAAGATGAAAAAGAAAAGAATAAGATAAGAAGCGCCAAAATAGAAGAATTCGTCGTTAACCTATGAACAAAATTGGTCGTTCCATCAAGTGGGTCGACAATGCATGTTGGGTGGTCAGTCAGCTCTGTAGCACCACCGCATGCAACACTAGTCTCTTCTCCAATAAACTAAGAGAAACATCGATTAAAACAAATTAAGAAAATGCTAGTAATACAAAATCCCAGTTTTGGGCTTAGCATAAAGTTAATCAGCTTTATACTTATACATATGGAAAAAGAAAAGAGAAAAGCAGGAAAAAAGATTCATCTTATGCTCCGGGAAATGCTGCTTAATTTGATCAAATATAAGAGCTTCACATGCCTTATCAATTTCCGTTACCAAATCCACCTTCATTAGAAAACGAGAATAGGTAGAATAAAAAAGAATAAGCAATTAATTACAAAAGGCTACAATTTGTATTCCACAAGCACAAAAAAAAAAAAAAAAAAAAAATTCCTTCGAATTCTGATTTTGAGATTATTGTGTAACATGGGAGAATGCATCAAGTCATAGACAAGTAAAACTTCAACATTCCATTTGCTTTGTTTCCCCGAAAATTACCATAAGAATTTTCTTCGAGTTTCTAACTTTCTATCTTTTCTTTTTTCTAGCAAGATATCTCAAAAACCTAAATGAAGGCAGAACGCCAAAATGTGGAATAGACTCAAGACTGAAAATGCCCAAGACCCCCACTCGAAGTAAACTAACGTCAAAAAGAAGAAAAGATGAAAAAAGAAAATAAATGAAAAAAAAACTGGCCTTATGCTCGACATGCTTCGCCTGGTGAAATCCTTTGCGAATTATCTGAAAAACAAAAACAAAAAAAAGAGGAAAAAATGAATGCTTGCAGAAAGCGAAACACTAATAAGTTAGAAAAGAAAATAACCAGGAGTTTGAGAATTTAGGGATTCTAATTACCTCTCCAGCCTTCTTTGTTGCATCAACGGCAATGGCGAGGAACTCTACTAGAGAATCTATTCAATAAAAATTTCATAACAGAATTAGGGAAAATAAAAATCACTAATAAGCATAGAAAAACGATAAGAAGAACAGGATAAGGGGGAGGGGAGCATCATCTACCACTTTCACCCATTTATTCGCAGTTGTTATGAGAAGAGCAGGAAACAAGACTCTCTGTTTTGCTCTGGAGTCTGGGCACTGGGCTCTGGCTTCCCGCTTCCAAAGCTCCTGGGCTCTTACGTAGTAGTCGTGTAGCGAGGAACTCCATCTCCGACTCTCCATCTTCGTCAAAAATCTAGGATCGAAAAACCTTTTGTATTCATGCGGAAAAAAAATTTCGACTCCCCGCGGCCGCGCGATCCTCTTCAGATATCACTATAATGGCGATCCTCTTCAGATATCTCTTGTAGTGGCAATGAGTTATATTTTTAGTATTTATGCCTATTTGTGCCTGAAACCATATTAATTACTCTACACTTAAGAAAAATAACGGAGTTTTTACTGTTCATTCCATCTTCAGAAATCTTATCTTAGCTCCACGTAGGTGCCAGTTCGGAATTAATAGCAATTTACGAGTGGATATAGGTGTCATAGGTGGAGGAATTTATAATTTTGAATTGTTGTAGGTCTGCTGAGGTGAGGTGCATGCAGCCTACTTAACCTTCACTCCTGTGCCTCCCGCAAAAAAACACTTAATATAAGTTGGGTTTCCCATTTTTATTACATGTTTTGGCGACTGGTACCAAGCGCTTTTTAGACACACAAACGTTCTTCAAAGAGATAAAGAAAGCTGCAAGGGACTCAATGGAGTAGGGATGCAATGGATTGGATCGAATTTGAATCCAAATCCAATTTGATAATGTAAATCCTATATCCAACCCAATAAACTAATTTATATATAAAATAGTAAAAAAACTAATTTTCTTTTCCTTTTTAGTTATCGAGCTTTAAACTTATTCCTTTTTAATGAGAGAATGGGGTACATACCTTAAATAAAAAATTTAATGAGAGAGAATTGAATAAAGTAACAAGTAGTATTTTAAATTATATTTTTGCCCTTGCAATTAGGAAATGATGGAATTCAAAAAAAAAAAAAAAAGATATTTTAATCATAAAGAAAAGTTCCACAATCTCATTTATACCATAACAAAAATAGATAAATTGATAAGAGAAACTATTCTCCACCTTTCGATAACAATCAAAGGGGTTATATTCTTTGCATCCTACGTATTTTCCTAATGAATCTTCCATTCAATTAGGACCAGGGTGAATACTGAGTACCAGTACTTGTTTGGATTTGCTCCCAATATGACATTATAGTCGACATTCTTAGCATGGCTTGAGACACCCCACAATTAATTATTTCTATATTAAGCATATATTTATATGTATACAATTAGTATAAAATAAGACATATAATATATATATATATATTATATTTTATAAATATTGACATATTTTATACATATATTATATGACATATAAGATAAAGTATTATTTATATCTTATTAAATTTAATTAGTGAATTGGGCCCAAAGTTTGGCCAGAATGGATCGAACCATACAGACCTGGGTCCGGGCTTACACTTTAGGCCTTGTGTCTAGGCCCATGATCACCCGATTCACCCCTACTTGTTGGAATTTTTTTTTCTTTTTTGTAGCAATTCCGGTTTCTACCATCACTACCCGATTGGTACTGATAGACAAGATACAATATGCAGAACCATACATAATGCGATGGGATCTAGGTATCATGGGCACTGGATCAACCTGACCCATTGGCACTCTTACCCATTCATAGGCCTGGAACTGGTTCTTAATTGTATTTATTCAATGTATGCTACAAGTTTATTTTAACAAATAAAATTCGTTATCCTAATTGTGTCACTTTTACACCTGAAGGAAGAGCTGGTGGTTTAACTGGTTTCGGGATTACTGTAGTGTTGTCGTCTTCAAGATATGTTTTTCTTAAAATTCAATTATGTACTTGCTCTTGGTTATTAGGTTTCATTTATGGACCTTCAATTAAACACCATAAAAATAGTTTCTGGTTAGATCTAAACCTGAGATTGCAACAGGTCTCTTTACCATATTTATTAATAGGAGATTTTAATGAAGCGGCCTCCATAAATTCACTAGAACCTTCAACCTCTTCTAATACCTCTACCTTATCTTCTGGGCAGTATAGAAATCTTATAATTGAGCAAAACTTGTTAGAAATGAATATTCAAGGTGGTGGAATGTCGTGGACTAATAAAAGGACCTCAGGCCATATCCAAAGAACTCTTGATAGGGTTGTGATTTTCCCCGACTAGTTACCTATCTTCCCTAACGCAACTCTTACTTTATGTTCTAAATGGGGTTTAGATCATCATCCACTTATTCTAAACCTATCCCCTACTATCCGTAGCCTTCCAAAACCTTTCAGGTTTTTTGAAATGTGGCTATCTGACGTTTCATGTAAACAATAAATAGAAAAATATTGGCAACTTTCAGTTAATGGTCATGCAACCTACCAGATAACTTAGAAATTGGATTCCTTAAAGAAAAATCTAATTACCTCAAGGAAATCCACTTTTATAGAACCAAGAGATAAACTCAAAAGTTTGGAAGTTCAGATCTTACAAGCTGAAAAATCGGGAGTCTCTGGTAATCTAAACAACTTGTATAGAGAGTATGAACAAACCAACGAACAGCTAGAAAGCTATTGGAGACAAACCTCTCGTCAAACTTTACTATAGTTGGGAGACAAAAACACAAATTTTTTCATAAAAGTACTTTATTCAAAAGGAAAAGAAACTATATTGAAAGGATCAAAGATGATCAAAACAATTGGAAAACTGAGCATGGAGATATAACTTAGATTTTCTTAGATTACTTCTCAAACCTTTATTCCTCTCAGATTCCTCAAGAGTTAGAGGATCTATCCAATATTTTCAATCCAATTATAACTGAAGAAGAGAATTTCATGCTCATTGCTATTCTTTTTGTTGATGAAGTCAAAGCAACCCTTTTCAGTATTGGTAGCCTTAAATCTCTAGGATGTGACAATTTGCCAGCTTTAATTTTTAAGGATTTCTGAAACTTAATGGGGTCTGATGCAGTATTGTTAGTACAAGAATTCTTTAGAACAAGAAACTCCTAAAGTGGTTAAACCATACTTTCATTTGTCTTATCCCCAAAAAGGTTGATTGTACTAAAGTACAAGATTATAGGCCTATCAGCCTTTGCAATGTGACTTATAAAATCATTGCCAAAGTGATAGCTGGTAGACTTCATACATCCTTGGACAAGTGTGTTGTTCCAAATCAAGTGGCTTTTGTACCAGGAAGGCAAAAGTCTAACAATTCAATTATAACCCAGGAAATGTTCCATTTTTTAAAACACAAGAAACAAAGAACATGGCTATATTGGTCTAAAGCTAGATATGTCTAAAGCCTATGATAGACTAGAATGGACTTTCCTCCTTCAAACCTTGTCTCTTCTTGGTTTTTCACCTGACTTTTGTCTCCTAATCAAAGAATGTATATCCATTGTGTCCTTTTCAGTCCTCATTAATGGCACTTCTGAAGGACATTTTTACCCTTCTAGGGGTTTAAGATAAGGAGATCATTTATCTTCTTATTTATTCATCTTAGCAATGAAGGGTCTTTCCAAACTTCTCTATCAAGCAGAATAGGAAGAAAAAATTCAAGGTATTCTCATTTCTCCTTCATCTCCTAAAATTTCCCACCTTTTCTTTACAGATGACGTTAGAATCTTTTTGAGAGTTCGCAGGGAAGAGATAGATAACATTGTCCAGATCTTAAATAAATTTCAAAATGCTTCAGGTCAAATAATAAATTTGGATAAATCCAATTTTTTTTGCAGTAAAATATTCATCCTACATTCCAACGATTAATTAGAAGGCAACTCAAAGTAAGACCTTTGCACAATAATTCTAAATATTTAGGTCTTCCTCTCTTTTGGTCTAGAAATAAACACACTAAGTTAACCTTTATTCTAGACAACATGAAAGCTAAACTGAATTCTTGGATTAGCTTCTTCAATCAGCTAGGCGGGGAAAAAAAGTTTTAGTTCAATTGGTTTTGCAAGCTATCCCTCTCCATGCCATGACCCTATCAAATTCCCTCATAAGACTATTGATCAAATGGATAAGTTAATCACAAACTTCTGGTGGGGAGTTTCGAAAACTAGATCTTATCCTTATCGTTGGTGTGCTTGGAATATTCTAATTTTACCCAAAGATGTTGGTGGCTTAGGTTTTAGAAACCTTCAATTAACTAATAAAGCTCTACTTAAGAAAGTAGCTTGGAGAAATCGTAGTTGAGAAACCATAATTTGTTTCCCTACTCTATCACGTCCTTAGGTTCTACTTTTTGGAAATCAGTAGGCTCAACTCTTATAGAGCTAGCTTCTGAGTGTGGTTATTTGATTAATGAAAACTCTTCATTTCCAGTATCTCAAAGACCTTGGATCCAATCTCATAATCAGTTCTCTTGGATATCTCTCCCTTTAGCACCCCATCTTAAAAACTTGAATATATCCCATCTACTCCACAATGGTCAATGGAATTGTGATGTCATCAACTCTTTATTTCCTCTTGATGAAGTATCAAAGATTTTGAATACCCCTATCTTTCCTTCCACTCATTCGACTTCTTGGATTTGGTTTCAACATAGTTCTGAAAATCTAACTATTGTGCCTCGATTTCAGCTTTTGTTTTGGAGAGTCCTTAGTGACTTCATTCCGGTCAAAGATATTATTTTTCAAGAAAACAACCAAAACTCTTGTGTTCTTTGTGAATTAGAAGCTGAAACTACTAATCACTTATTTATGACTTATTCTTATACTCAAGCAGTTTTATTTGGTAACCCTTGTAACCTTTATTTTCAAACTATATTTTAAGGGTCTTGGACTTTATGTATTCAAACTCTTTATAACCAAACTGCGGATTGCTCTCTTTTTATGAATATTTTCAGTTGGATAGCTATAGCTTCTTATTATATTTGGTATGCCAGAAATGAAAAGTGCTTCAAGAATAGGCTAATTCAGCCTATTAATCTCCTTCATCAAATTAATAATTCTTTCCTCCATTCGGATCATCATTTAAATGCTACTGCTCCTCCAATCCAACACTCATATTCTTACAATTTGGATCTTATTGTGTTTACTGACGCAGGGAAAATCTCATATTCTTTATATACTTATGGTGCTATTCTCATGTCTAAAAATTTATCTTGTTTGAAAATTATCAAAGGTAGAACCAATCAAATCTTTTCAGTAATTCAAGCTGAACTATATGCAATTATGCAAGCTTTATCAGAGCTCTCACACTGGGAAATACAGGAAATTTGTATATATACAAACACTCAGCAAGTTGTCAAGGCGCTTCAACAAAATGCAGATCTTCCCTGGACTTGCCAGTGGCTTTTGTCTAGGACCAGATCTCTACTATCGAACTTTCTAAATGTTAAGTTTGGTTTTGTAAATAGAAAGTTTATAGCCCTGCTCACAAGGTGTCCCAATTAGCTAAATTGCATTGTTTGTCATCTTTTATTATTAACGATTATCAAGATGGAAAACCAAGAGTGGAGGAGTTTATTATCTTGATTTAGTTTAATATAATATGCATCTTTCAAAAAAAAAAAAAGTAAGGGTGAATGGGTGATCATTTTCAGTTTGGTCCTTACCAGCACAAAAATTCCGGGCTCAGGCCTAAGTTTTCTGTTCAAGTCCAGCCTGGGCCCTGGCCTGCATGCCCACAAATGTGAGGGCTGGGCCCTGAGACTAATACTTTATGCTCGCTTCATACCATATGTAATTTATACATAGTAAATAATTCATAAATATATAATACAATATAAAATATAATGATATTATGTAAAGTTTTATACATTAGATACATATGCCCGTAATCAAGCCCGGCCCATGATCACCCCTAGGTCCAGAGGTAACATAAAGTTGGAGGTCATAAGTCATAACTTGCTGTTCTCAAAGCGAGTAGCCCACCAAAGAATAAGGTGGACCCACAGAATGATTTAATATTTATCACGCCGTCGTTCACGTCGAGTGATTTAATGATTATAGATAGTATAATCCATTTCGGTTAAATACCAAATCAAATAACACGTTACCATTATTCATCACGGAAAAGAGATAGAAAGGGAGAGAGGCCCGATCTCCTGAATCAAAAACCGTGCAAATACACTGAGAGTACGGACATCCAACCGCACATCCCTGTACATGTATGTTAAATTCAAGGAGAGGTTCGTGATGTGCGGCTAGATGCCGTGTCTCAGAGTGTTAGCACAGGATTCGCTTTCAGGAAATCCCGTCTCAATGGAGGAGGGAAATTTTAACAAGTAATTCCACAATGTGACTCGTTAATTTTCAACAGAAATTCCTTTCCAGCCAGAAAATCAGCAATCCACCGTCAGTCTGTCGAGAAATCCAAGCTCTCCTCGTGTAAGTTTAACCGTCGTCGTTGAAAGAAGATTATCTCTGTAAATTCAAGAGTTGTATTCTATGTTGCAGAAATGGAGAAGGAAAAGAACCCATTTCCCTCTTCTTTCTCTTTTCAGTGTTCTCTTCTCTTTGTTTGTCATTGGAGTTACAATCCTCTACAACCAGCGAAGCATTCGGCAAATACTTGAAGACAGAGAACAGCAACAGCTTTCCATTACACAGACATCATTACTCTCTTCTGACCCTTCAAAAGCCTCTGGAGTCAACAACCAAAACCAAGCTCTAGTAGGTGCGTTGGCATCGGAACCTATCGATCTACTTACCATTAATTTCAGTAAAATCTATCTGGGTTTGCTGATTCTGCTGAAGTATTTTCGCGTTTCTGTAGCTTAATTATCTGATGCTTTTCCCATTTTTTTCTTATTCTTGAGACCGTGATGGTTTTTTTTTTTGTTTTTTTTTTTATGGATTTCTGTAATTTTCTGTTATGTTCTGATTTTACGCACTTGAATTTTATGTCGTGTTACGTTCTTTGGAATTTTATTTTTGCATTTGATTAATTGATTTGGTCTCATGGATATAAATGGGATTTTGTAAGTTTAGCGAGCTTGGATAGGTTCACCAAATGCGCCTCCACTCGACGGTACAGTGGCAAGAAAACTGTGCGGATTGACCGTATGATGGAGACCGACCGACGGCGAGGAATTCCAGAGAGATGCGACTTGTTTTCCGGCAAATGGGTCTTTGACAATACCTCTTATCCGCTCTACAACGAGTCGCACTGCCCTTATATGTCCGACGAGTTGGCGTGTCAGAAATACGGAAGGACCGACTTGAGGTACCAGAACTGGAGATGGCAACCTCATAACTGCAACTTGAAGAGGTATCTCATATCTGTTGCTTTCATATTGAAATCAAGACTGTTCGAGCCTCCTTTAGTTGTCCATCTTTGCTCAATTCTGCAATCAGAACGAGTACTATTTATTGAAAATGAATACTTGTTTTAGAATTTTCAAAATTTAAACAGCTACTGTCTTATGCTAAAGGTGGAATGCGACTGAAATGTGGGAGAAATTGAGAGGTAAAAGACTGATGTTTGTTGGGGATTCTTTGAATAGAGGACAGTGGACATCCATGGTATGTTTATTACAATCTGCAATTCCAGCTGACAAGAGATCCATGTCCCCCGTCGCTCCTCTAACAATCTTCAGGGCAGAGGTAAGAGAAAACCAACCTCAATAGAGAAGTTGAAGTATCAGACTTAAAATCCTTAGACTAAACTGGCATTTGAAGAGCCCCCCATTCTGTCTAAACGTATTCTCAATGAAACATTCCAAGTAGGTTGATCTTACCCAATTTCAGAATAATACACGTTATGTGGAAGGCAGAGGATTATCCTGTACTCAAGATGCATTAACACAACAACCATTACACCTTTTTGTTAATGCATTGATGTTTATGATTCCCACCCAGGAATACAATGCTTCGGTTGAGTTCTATTGGGCACCACTTCTTGTTGATTCGAATTCTGATGATCCGGTGAACCACAGATTGAAGGACCGAATAATTCGGCCGGACTCAGTTCTCAAGCATGCTTCCCAGTGGGAGAATGCTGACATACTGGTCTTTAACACCTACTTGTGGTGGAGACACGGCCCCATTAAGTTATTGTAAGTGCAATTTCTTGCCAAATCAGGCATGGCACCAACTGTGTAGCTAGTTAAGTAGGAACGTAGGAATTGTCTTCTTTCCTCACTGTTTTTTTATTTTTTTTTAATTATTAAACCATTGGCTCATATGACTTTGCAGATGGAGTAGTGAAGAAAATGGGGTATGTGAGGAACTGGATGGCCTGCGAGCTATGGAGTTGGCTATGGAGGCTTGGGCCGAATGGGTGGCTTCAAATGTGAATACGCTCATAAAGCGGGTATTCTTTGTTACCATGTCTCCTACCCATCTCTGGTGAGTGCCAACCCCCTTTCTCTAATACTCCTTTCTTTTTGGGTAAATTATAGATTACTACCCTATATTTTCGTGTGTTGATGCTTAGCCCCCTGACCTTTTGTTTGCAACAGAAACCCCTGAACTTTCAGATTCTAACATTTCCCCCCCACTGCCAGCACTCAAAGATTCCCATTTGACTGCCGTGTGTTTGTTAAACATTTCTAAATCTTCAAAACTATCATTTTTTTTTTTACTTTGTTGGACCATTTTACCCTTTTCTTACATATTTATTATAAAGACTTCTGTTTTTTTCTTCTTCTTTCTTGCACTAAGGGTTTTATTTATTTAGGGTTTAGAAGCCTGGGAAAGAAAGAGATAACATACTTTGCCTTGCCCATTTTCGTTAGTTTGAAATGTCATCATCTTAAGTCATCTTTACAAAATAAAATATTGTCATCTCACCCATATGATTCTTGAAAGGTCATTTTAGTAAATTAATTTCCTCCGTCATTCCAATTAACACAGAGGGGGGAAGTGTTGGAATCAGTGTTCTAAAATGAAGAGGCATGATGCAAGGCGTTCCACTACTTAGAGGTGTGAGGTTGATGTAGTTCAGAACGCAAGAGGCGTAAGCCTCCCGAACATAAGCCTCCTTAAGAGGAGGTTAGAAGGAGGAATGGGAGGAGGATGAAGAGGAAGAGGGGATCTCATTTTTTCTTTATTTTTAATAAAAATATTTTACATTAAGAATAATAAAGATGCATGACAATAGTTGAAAAGGGGGTAGGGGGCAAACCACTTTCTTTCCTCTTATCTTTTCTTCCCTTTTCTTTCATTTTCTCTTTTTTTCTTCTCTTTCTTTTTCTTTCCCTTTCTTTTTTTTTATCTTTTTTTTCTTTTTTTTTCCATCTTCTTATATAAGATGTGCATGAGACGCATGAGGCATACGCCTCTAGCACGTTTCACGAAAAAAGCGCATGAGGCGTACACCTCAGAGGTGTTAGCGCCTCTGGCATACGCCTCGGGGTGTTTTAGGAGCACCTCCAGTCATATGCCTCCCATGCCTTTTAAAACACTGGTTGGAATATGAAAGTCCAGGGGGGTCTTTGCTGTGAATGATAGTTTGGGGGCCAAGTGTCACTACCCCAAAAGTGTAGGGTGGCATTCTGTAATTTCTATTTTTTTTTATCTATAAATTTTAAATGACCAAAATTTATAGACTTCAACGAACTTTAAAGGGCGCTTTCAAATGAAGAAGAAGAACTTTATAAGAGATGGATTATGTGAGCTTTATTAAATTAAGAATTAAAGATAGAGTGGAACCATAAACACACATGCTTAAGTTTAACTGTGTCTTGGATTATCTTAGGGCTACATGGTTATCTGGATTTACTTAGGCTGTGTTTGGGAGTGCTTTCTGGCCTAAATCGGCTTCTGAAAAAGCCTCATTTTGAAATAGGCTTTTGGAAAAAGTGCTTTTTATTGTTTGGCTAGTCAGTGGCTTTTTTGTGTGAAATAGCTTCTTACAAATGTGAAGAGTTAAATGGAGGTTTTTTCTGCTTTTTTTCAAATGACTTTTTTTAATGCAAAAAGGCCAATTCAAGTTTTTTTAACCAAACAATTTTTTCACTGGATTTTGGCTTCTCCAAAGTAAAAAACACAAAAAGCCCATTGGAGTAGATCGGTAGCACTCCAAACACAGCCTTAGGATCACTACAGAAATTACTTTGGCAATTTAACGCTTTAGAAGAAAACGGCATGTGGTTGAAATTACAAAAGCAACTCATGTATCATTGTTAGCATGTCTAGTGGTTTTGGTAAAGAAAAATAGCATAAGGAACCAGCATAGCACCATCATTACTGACAGGGTGCACCTCCCTATTCACCATCAATCAATTAGTGATGCAGGGCAAATTCATTTTGTTTGAAATAGGGGTTTTATTATTTTTAGTGATTTTTTTTTATATCTTAGTTTTGTCAATTTCTTATTCCTTGATGCTAAGGAGTCAAAATTAATCTGTTTTTCATATTTCTGGTGTCATTTAATAAGTTCTCAGTTAGCCATCCAAGAGGACCAAGATCATTCAAATTCAAAATGATCTGAGCAAATTATATGACCAGTGTGCTGATTCAGTTTCAGTTACTCGATAGGATGAGTTTGGAATTTCTTCTTTTTTTCGATACTAAAGATAATTATATTAATTAGCAGAGAGATTCTTAGTACATTGCCTCCACTCAGACTCACCTATAGTTTGGAAACTTTATTTTCACTGTGACTTCTCCTTTGGTCTTTAGCTGGGGTTTTAATTTCTAAGAAAACATTGTAAACGGACTTTCTAGTACTGAACGAAGTTTAATGTATTTCTTTTAGAATTTTCTTTTGTGCATTAGAGTTTTCTGACAGGAATGAAACGGTGATCTTCATCTTCTCCTTTTTGGCACTTAATGCTTTGTTAGTTGGAAGCAGAAAGCTCAGTATAATTTTTCTGCATGTTGTTTGTCGAAGATTGCTTTAATTGGACAGTCTGGATCAGTGGACATATTTAGTAGCCAATGACAGGAAGGGAGATGGTTATATGTTTATTTAGCCTCTTATACCAGACACCTCTCACCAGCATAAATGTAAAGTCTTAAACGTAGATTTTCCATGCTTATCAGAAAACTTATATTGTCCATGCTCTCTTTTTACTGTGTTGGTTTTGGAAAAGTTCCTATTAAAGTTCTGTTTTGTAGTTACCACCCTGCTCAACTGTTTAAACTTACTGTTTGTATCTAGTAGGAATCCTTATACTAGGTACCCATGATAATCAACTTGTCTAATTCATGTTGAGGATGCTGTTGTATTGGATAGAAACTACAATGCACAAGGTTTTGTATGATAAACATATGTTTCATGATCTTATAATTCAACTCAACTGAGTAAATCCCTGTCCCAACTCAACAAAAACTTTATGAGAAAATGTATTCAGGGTTCATATAGTTTCTGTGTTATGAGAAAATGTATTCATGGTCAGTCCAAGATCTACCACAATCCAAACTTCACAGTATTCAGGCTTCATAGTTTCTATGTTATGCCGTATTGATATCAGCATGATTGTTAACGTGTCACCTCGGTGTCCCAAGGATGTCTAGGTGAGGAACGCCAATGCAATCAAGAAAGATCACTCACTAATACCTTGCTTTCAAAGTGCTAACCTTAAGAAATTTGGGCAACTAGAATAGATAATGTGGTATCAGGTATGGAATTTACATTAGATATTGGAGTGTCCAACATGATATAGCATCTTTGTTTAGGTATTCAGGTATCATAGGCATCTATCCACTTGCATGGCACTCTGCATTGGGGTGGGGAGCTGCATTACATCGTACCATGTTAATATTAAGTTATTGATTATTTATATTGCTTTAATTGTATTAAATGGAATTTAATCATATTATAATTTAATTCTTTAATACTTGTATTTCTTGTTTATGTTAATTATTGGTATTCGTCATGCTGTTTGCAACAAAGCATCCAAACTGCACTGCCAAATGAGAGATTGCTGAAACTATATATTGCTGTTGATTTACCAATAAGATGGCATATTTAGAAGTTTATTGCGATGGTTGGATTCCTTAAATAAACTGTGATGTGTTGCTGGAATCTATCAAGGCTACCATCAGCCATTGAGAGATTGCTTAGACTGGCATTCTTATTCAGCAGTATCCACTTTGTCAAGCAACTATAATTATCCTTTGATCAACTACCCAAGACATATTTTTCCAGATAGAGCCTCCAGCCTTGAGCCCATAGCGATTTTTCTCTCCCATGCACAACAAATTGCCACTTTATCTTTCTGGGTGGGCAAGCAGGTTACTGGATGAAGATTTATTTTGTACCCAAATCCAATGATTGCTCTTCAGTGTTCAGACACTAGCAACTAGACAAAGATGGCATCCTCTAAGCTTTGGAGTAAAGTAGATATAGACTGTTTAATTAATATGCAAATAAGAATAAATTTCAATCTGAACACCCTACATAATGAATGCATTTCACTGGGGAAAAAATTGTGGGTTAATCAGTTTCAGTGCTGGAGGTTTAGACATAATATTTCTTGTTTAAATATCGTTGATGATGAGTTTCAGAGCTGGTATCATTATTTTATGATTTTGGAGATTCGAAAACAAAACCTTTTTAAAACATTTGTGGCACACAGGAGCCGAGAGTGGAAGCCAGGTAGCGAGGGCAATTGCTATGAGGAAAATACTCCCATTGATGTAGAGGGTTACTGGGGAAGTGGGTCTGATTTGCCCACAATGCGGATGGTGGAGAATGTTTTAGGAAAGTTGAGGTCGAAGGTTTCTGTTGTCAACATCACACAGCTATCCGAGTATCGGAAAGATGGCCATCCTTCCATTTACAGAAAGTTCTGGCAGACACTGAGTCCCCAACAGTTGTCAAATCGCACGAGTTACTCGGATTGTATACACTGGTGTTTGCCTGGAGTGCATGACGTCTGGAATGAATTACTGTTCAATCTTTTATAGAAATAAGTTGGTAATACTTTTAGCTTCATTTGAATTTCGTCCCTTTGTTACAAACTCGGCTAAATTTCTGCTTCTAAGGCCTTAAAATTGGCGAAATATCAGTGTTAGCAGAATATCATCAGATATGGAAACCAAACCATATATAATAGCAGATTAATTGCAGATATGACAGAACTAGCTGGACTGTTCAACATGTGAACTTAATACTGCACAACCCCAACGGAGTCAAAGGGAAACTTACACTGGAATTGATTGGAGTGACAAAGTTGTGATGCACCTTTGAAGAACCAGAGAAGGCCGTATTTCAATTCTCTATTTTTTCTTTCTTTCTTTTTTTTTTTGATAAAACGGAAGAGGAGTATTTCAGTTCTCTGAAACTATGGCATGCTATTTTATGGACAATTTTAGTGATTAAACTATAGTATTCTTCTATTACTAGAATCCTTTGGAAGGTATACCAACCAGACTTGCTGGTGAGATCTCCGGTTGGTGTCCTCCACCAAGACTTGGGATCAAATCCGCCTTTCTTTCTTTAATCACCTACATGCTGGAATTAGTGTTATCAGGCTCTGACTGGCTAGAGGTTGAATCAGTGACTGGAGACCCGGTTAATTGATGACTTTCATGGATTGAATGAATGAGCTAACCGGTCGGTTAACTGGTAAAACCTTTACCATGATTCAATCAATAGGTAATCCGGTTTTCCGTCTGGTCTGACAACACAGGCTAGGTTACAACCAGGCTTTTCGAATGGATTATCCCACCAGTCCTCTATATGTAAGGGGTATATTTGCAAATGCATGTGGGGGTAACGAAGGATTATTACCTGGATTGTTAAAAGAATACATTAAGGCCCGTTCACTTTTCCGTAAGTTATTTATCGAGGTAAATACAGTTATTTGGGTGAGTTTTTCCTGGAAATATTTATCTAGGTAAGTGTATTTACTCATGTTCTTTTATTTCTCATATAAATAAGGCAATGATTATTTTAGCCATAAAAATCCATTATTAAAAGGGACATTTTTGTCCCATTCAAGTGTTGGTAATTTTTTTGGGTAAGTGATACCTAGGGAAAATTTTTCCCTGATCCCCACATAAATTTGAAAAAAGAATAAGGGATTCTTGGTCAATGAGAACCAAAATCCTATTGACCAACTTTCCCCCCTCTCAAAATCTAAAAAAAGAACGCCCCCAAAGTCCAACCTTGATTGAACGAATTCAAATACAAGGTGATTGAGATGCAGATGGCACAAGTAAGGATGTCAATGGACCGGTTTTGGATTGGACCCCCTTACAATTCAACAAGACATTGAATTGGACCAATTCGGTCCAAAATATTTAATAGATTGCATTGGACTTGATCCGTTCGTAAAAAATTTTGGATTGGGTTGATTAAGCCAATATCTGGTCCATTGATATAAGATAGAATATATGTGTCAATGAACGTTTGGGTTGAAACCAATCTAAATCAAAATGAATTTGAATAGATTAAACGATCCAGACATTGAATTGAAACGGTCCAAATTGGTTCAAAACATTCATTAGATTGGAATGGACCTGGTCCATTTATAATGGATTCACGTTTGACTGGATTGGATTAGACCAAATCCAATTCAATTGACACCCTCAAGCACAAGGTGTTTCTAGTAAATACTAGTATGGTTAATAAAACAAACATGCTATTTATGGTGGTGGACAGATTTATTATTCACTTTTTTTACCCATGTGCGGCCGCACATCTCACAATACAAGATGCTGATGTGCAGTTGTAAATTAAGGCGGATAGCACGGGTAGAGAGTATTGGACAAGAAATCTGGTTTGTTTATGGTGGGCTTATGGCATGACTCAATTAGAAGGTCCAATTCTTTATGATGTTAGCATCAACAAATTTAACTCAAGAAAGTGTGCTTTTGTGATAGTAATACAGCCAAAATTTGATTTTATAATGTCAAATGACTTAATCTATATTTTTACTCATTAGTCTGTGTTTGAAAATGATGCAAATAGAGTGTAAATCTCAGTTCAGGGTAAATTTGCATTATGTTTCACTTTTGCTTGTGTTTGGTAATTGTCGATACAAATTTCATGTATTTCAATTAGCACAAAATATGGAGACAAATTACAAAAAATAAATTTGTAATAAAGAAAACAAACAAGGGAATGAACTCTCTTAGATTTTTGCTCGATGACGTGAGCAACATCTAATTAACGGTCGAATTTGGTGAAGACGAGAGCCGTTGATGTGTTTCTCGTACTTCTTGAAGTGTTGATGTAGATTTCCTTGATTTTGGTGCTTTGGAAGATTTGATGTATATTTCTTCACTTTGGGTTTCACGCTTGATCGGCTGTGAAAGATGCTTCTCTAAGAAGGGCCCTTTTGTGGTGGCTTGATCTTCTTTGGAGAACTTGAATCCAAATGAGTTGCAGAGAACGGAGAAGTTTTTTCCCTTCTTTCTTCTTTCTTGATCTTGTAGTTGTTGGAGTTTGCAGGAGCTTGTGGTTGCTTGCAATATTCAATGTTGGTGTCTGAGAGCTTCTCGCAGTGTAAACCCTCTTTCTTCTTAGGCAAGGCTATTTATAGCCAAGGATTAAGGCTGCCACCTCAGCCCACTTAACTAACCAATCTATGTGAATGGGGTGTTGGGTTAGCATTAACTCCTATACATGCACCATTATGCAAGAGTTAACGGTCTTTTCAATGGGACTACCCTATTATAATAGGACATGGGCCATATTGGACTTAGTACACTTGGATCTTTGAGCCACTAAGTCATATTTATATAGACTTGGGCCTTTGGCCCATGGAGGCCCATATTAATTTAGAGGTTACCATGTAAAACTAAGCTCATTTATTTGGTTTTGAATATTCAGATGTCTACAAATGCCCTCTGGAGGACGAGGTGACGATGGAGCTCCATACGATGGTGATGACGATGACAATGACGACGACGATTTTCAATGGAGCCCTCCGTTGGAGTAATCAGCATAGCCATTGAGAGATCGAGTTTGAAGACGTTGAGAGATCGGAGCAGAGCCTTCCTACTTTCCACAAAAGTTGCGATTTATACTTGAGGTTAGTGATTTGATATTTTTCCTCTTTTTCCTATGTTGCCATTGGTTTACTTGATCTCGAGACTTCTTCTTTCTCTACCATGAACAGTCCACTCTGGTGTAGCAGTTTATTCTTCCACTAGAAGCGGGTATGGTGAATGGTGATGACATCATGGAAAATAAATGCTATCCACTCGATCAAGTAATGCTTGAAACACACTGCATACTTTCATAGTTTCAGAACCAAAACCATAAAAACTCTAGATTGAGGCTCTCATATTCTGTCCTGTAAATGTGTTCCATCACATTGACTGAAATCGTACTTTGATGACTAAAACTCCTGGGTCAAACAAGATCTGACTGTTTGTTCCTAATGACCCATTAGCGGGCTTGGTATTTTAACAATGCTCAACAGAATCAGATTGGTTTCCTTTGATTAATTGTAAACACCTCAGTTGCCACTGTTACAGAGTGAATTGTAGAGTAAAGCTTTGGCATGGGCATTGGATGAATAAACGCAGTATGGGAGCCAATCTTTGAGATGATAGTATGACACCTTACCGTATCACATGGCAACAGTAGGATGCTTAAACTCCATGACAGCAGCCCACTGAAAATTTGACGGAGTTCTCATTGAATTGCATACGAACCAAATCAACAGGAAACATGAACGTATCCCTTATGACGATTGGATTAAGCATTTGAGCTTATCCCACCAAGGTGCCACTGTCCTTGTTTGTGGACCTTTTGTCCTGTAAACCAACAGAACCAACCAAAACGAGAGTCATATGTACGCAACTTCCACTTCTCAAGACACCTTGTTTCAGCGTACTGCATATTGCATCTTCTAGATTTTACTTTTCCCCTCTTCTCATATTTGGAGTCTTGTACATGCAGGATTACAGATTTGGTAAGTCGACTGCGCGTCATCTGTTGTCAAAGCGCCATCCACTATCAAGGTATCGCAAGTTGCACTTGATTTCTATAAGACTTAACGGGTTAGAAATTCACCAATAGGCACATCGGTATGGCTTCATCAGCAGCAGGCCCTCGTAGACCTTTAATGATCCGGGGTTCTTAGGTCCACAGCTTCGTAGACTTTTGGGTTCGAGATCTCTTCGATTTTAGGGATTAGCTTGCATAAAGTTTTTTCGCCAAAGAGTCACAGCATGCAGAGCTTCATCTACAACAGCTACTCGCAGACCTTCAACGGTCCAAGGTCCATAGGTCCAGAGCTTTGTAGACTTTCGAGTCTAAGGTCTCTTGGATCTAAGGAGTATCTTGCACAGAGCTTCTTCACCAAAGAGTCAAATCATGCAGAGCTTCTTGAGCAATAGGCCCTTGCAGACCTTTAATGGTCCGGGGTCCCAAGGTTTAGAGCTTCATAGGCTTTCGGGTCTGAGATATTTTGGATTTAGGGATTAGCTTGCATAGAGATTCTTTATCAAAGAGTCACATAATGGGAGCTTCATCAACAGTAGGCCCTCGCAGACCTTCAATAGTCCGAGGTCCCTAGGTCCATAGCTTCGTAGCCTTTCGGGTCTGAGGTCTTTTGGGTTTAGGGATTAGCCTGAATGAAGTTTCTTCACCAGAGATTCACAACATAAGAAGCTTCATCAGCAATAGGCCCTTGCAAATCTGCAATGGTCCGGGGTCCTAGGCCCAGAGCTTTGTAAACTTTCGTGTCCGATGTCTCTTGGGTTTAGGGATTAGCCTGTGGAGAGCCTCTTCACTAGAGAACATGATGCACAGAGCTTCCTTCTTCACTGGAGATCCCAACATCCAGAGCTTCATCAGCAGCATCCCCTCGCAGACCTTCAATGGTTTGGGGTCCCTAGATTCAGAGCTTCATAGACCTTTGAGTCTAAGGTCTCTTGGATTTAGGAATTAGCTTGCAAAGAGCTTCTTTCCTAGAGGACTTGATGTGCAAAGCTTTCTTCTCTTCAAGGTAAGGTACTTTTTTTTATTGTATTATTAACACTTCTCTTTTGCTTGTATAGGTGATGTCTTCTTCTAGATCATTTGGTCATGAAGCTTCATCGTCGTCTTCGATACATCCTCTAACAAATAACTTGCCTCAAGAAGGAAGGTTGCAAATCCCGAATACCCAACTTTGAATGGGTGATCTCTCTACTTTCCTTGCAGAACTCTCAACACACTTATGCTTGTAACTGATGAACTTTTGACAAGTTCTTGTTTTCAACATAGAGCTGAATAGGAAGAGATCTTCGAACCTCTCCAACCAAAAGGAGTTGTCATGGATGCAATGCTAGAATCTTCTATTTCTTTTAAGAGTCTGCTCGTCTTCTGACAGATCATACAAAATGATCACTCATTTAAATG